GCTTTGCAAAGCATCAGACTTTCAGGAAAGACGTATTCTTAGCATGCGGTCGGTCTAGCAGCTTTCTCTGCATTCCCATGCAAGCTCCAATAGCTGTTGCCATAAAGCCTGCCCTGCCCCAGCTGTTCACCTGCAAACAAATCACATTCTGAATCTCGTATGATAAAGATGAACATGACGGAATTAAAGAGGAATGCACAAAAAAGAGGTGGGGAGGAGCTGTGTGAAAGAGAAAATGCAAAGCCAGTGATAAAAATGTTTTAAAAGGTGATGGAGGGACATAACACTTTCCCTGAGCCAATTGCATCTCCTCCCAGAACATCCTGTGGAGCTGTGTGTTTGGACCTCTAAAGAGAAGAGGAGGCACGACAGGCTCAGAGTGGAAAGGAAAAGGAGGCATCAGATCCCTGCTGCTTGCAATCTCCGTTGCTTTATAGCTGATTTATAAGTGAAAAAGGAAGCCGTTTCTCTGCCGTCAGAGACATTAGGGGGTGAAATGCTACAGAAATGAATGGCCATTTGTCATCAACAGTGAAGTCTCTTTTGCTTTTCTTGTACTTTTCATACATTGAGGCCTAAATAGGAGGGGTGGGGAGAATGAAATAGTGCGTAGTTGTTGAACTTGAGACATCTGAAACTCATGTTCAAACCCTTGTTTGACTGTGTAGGTTACTGGGTGGCCTTCAGCAAACTCATCATGCCCCTGATAAACCTACCCCACAAGATTGTTGTAAGCCTGAACTGTTGTTCTAAAGCAGGGATGTCCAACGTTTTGGCTCCTCTGGGCTGCACTGGAAGAAGAAAAATGGTCTTGGGCTGCACGTTAAATGCACAAGTGCTAAGGAACACAGACAAGCCAAGAAAAGTCTGTGCAGAATTTCCATGATATCTGCCACCACCGTGCAGACAATTAGCAAGAGCAAATGTGCATTTATTTTACAGGATGCCGTGGTGTGACGTCGCCATTTGTGGAGTTCATGCTCAAGAACCGCGCAGTCAAGTCACCCCAAAATTGCAAAAGGATCTCAGTGTTTGAAGATCCTTTTGCAATTTTATGTTGGGTCACATCCGTAGCCCTCCTGGGCCACGCGGAGCCTGTGGGCTGCGGGTTGGACACCCCTGCTCTAAAGCCTTAGTGTCTTCAGAGAAAACACACATAAAACAAAAAAAATCATATCTGTAATAAGAAGAGGCATGTTCTCCTTTGCCAAACCTGCAAAGCACATCCTTTCAATTTCTGCTTACAATGCTTCCATTCTTAGAGGCTAAAATTCTTATTCCATCTTGCCCAATTAGCTATGGCAGAGGTGGAGCCTAAACCAGATCTCCAAGGTCCAAGACCTCTGGACAATTTACATTCTCATCTCAATGCCCAATAGTCAAGTACTTGAACTAAAATGCATGAAACATATGTTAATTCATGCTCATTCCAGCCTATTTCCACATCAATACGAAATATTTAAAAAACCATGAAAACTCACATTTAAATGCAAATATGTTATTTTTCAGAAGATGTGCATGTTTGCACACATTTCAACCTAAAATAGGCATTTCTGTATGCATTTGAGGCTAAAATAATATTTTATGTCCACTTTGACATGTGTTTTGAGCTGAGAACTGCATTGCACAATTGGGGGAAGTGAGAATGAATGTCTGAGTATTAGTTCAGGAAATGTGTGAATCACGTCAGTTCACTTAGAAACATGGATGGAACAAAATCTTTGAGCATTCCTAAACTAAACAGTAGTGACTTCAGTTGAAATGTGCGAGAAAGGAGATCAAAATCTCAAGATCTGAGCACCACCAGAAACAAACACGGCCTAGGCACAACGGGTAGTGTATGACTCAATAACCTGAACATAGGATCTGTATTTTTCCTTTTCCAGACCTTCCATTTTGGAATTTGCCCAACATTCTGTTTGGAAAAAGCTGTCAACACTGCAGTGCCAGCAACTAAGTCTGTTATTAACTGGAATGCCTGAGACATACATACCATGATCTTCAGGCCCATTCTCAGAAACAAAGCAAGGAGCAGAACTCACTGAGGTGGTGAAAACAAATCTCAGGACAAAAGGAGCTAAAGCTTTGCCATAATATGGCTGCTAATAACTGTAAGAATAACTTTAGACTTAAGGTGAAATTCTAATCTGAACAGGAATTCATGTTTTAAGTCTTGCTCCCTGTGGACATCTTAGAAATGCTACTGTCTCTGTCCTTTGGGGCACACCTGAAACATGCTAATGTCCTGCAGGTTCTTCTCTTTCCTGCAGGTTCTTCTCTTTTGTATTGTGCTGAATCCCTACTGTTTTATTCTAATGTGCTTCTAAAACACTGTGCTGTGATTCCCCACTCTTTGTCCAAACTGTGTATGTACAAGCATCTTGTATAGACTCCATCTTTGTAGTCCCTTCTGGGACTGGCTACTCGCTGCATGTATTTCCTGTGTGTCTGAATACACTGTACATGCTATTTTGATTGTACACCCCCAGTGGACTCTCAAAGGGTGCTTTTTCACTCCTGTGAAAAGTCTTCCCACAAAAACAAAGAAAATCAGGGGAAAAAACCATCAGAAACCAATTTTGCCATTTTCCCAGGGAATTTTTAAAAATATGAGAAAATCTAGAATGGTACAGTTGGAAGTGGCCATAGAATAGTAGAGAAGGAATTAAGTCCAACCCGTTATTGCAGGACATTGATCTAATTCTTCCCTGCAAATTTTGCTGTCACTCCCATACATTTCTGGAGGGTTTGCTTTCAAAGTACAAAACATTTCTTCAAATGCTAGGACAATAAAAAGGTCTTCACCTGATACCAAAAATACTATAATATAGGCACCAGTCAAGTCTCCCTCAGGACATTCTGCAGTCAGTGTGCCACCACTGAAAAGACCTTCTCCTGTAGCGACCTGCCTCAGCTCATTTGGCAGGGGCACTCAGAGAAGGATTTGTAAATCTAAGGATTCCTTGAAGCAGCTAACACAAAGTAACAACTGAGGTAAGGCATGACAAGAAATATTTAAAAAACTAAAACTCTGTAAAACATCAGCTATCAGATAATCTCTCAGTTAGCCACAGATGCACTCCAGCAATTTATACCTATCGTATAGCTAAAACATAAGAGCAGAGGGAGGGTTGATACATCTGACCAAAGCAATGTCTCACTGCATCTTTTCCACTGAAGCATGGCAGCATTAGTAACTCTGAAGAATATCTTAAGAGCTGAGAGTGAGGATACGCAATGCCCAAGTAATTTAGGGATAGTTTACTGCCACATCATCATCATCATCAAAGGGAAAAGGCAGTTGGATGCACATTCTAAAAATGTAAATTCAACTCTGGTGCTGAATTTAAAAATGTTTCACTAATGATTTATTTAAAAATTCACCAAGATGCCTATGAAAAGCAAAACATTTTATCTTTGTGCATCACAATCTACGGATTACCGAGCTCCTCCCATCACTACTTAGTCTTGCCAGAGTATGTGATACTTATGGGAACAATCACTTAAATCAGCAGCACTTTTGACATGTGCAGAGTGTTTCATCTCAAACAGCCGAAGAAAATGAACAAGCACTTTCTGAAGCCTGTTAAGGGAGTTTGGGTTCAGCTGGGAGGGCAATCTGGATTTCAATGCTAATTGCAAGCATTCTGATTTATCATAGAAGATTCAACTCCTGGCATTTTGCTTTTGCTCCAAAATGCTGGCATAGCTGGAAGTGTAGCAGGGCAGGGGTGGGGGGAGACGCTGTAACAATCTCATTGTTTAGTGTCTGACAGCCTGACTAGCTAAACATCTGTTTGAAATATTAATAACCGTCAGATGGGAACAGCTCAGGGGCTCTGTACGATTTCACACCATCTGTTTGCAGAATAAACACACTTACATACAAATACTTTAAAACATTTTGTCTGAGTATTGCTGGTCTGACACAGTTCACATAAGTAGGTCGATGGGAGGCAGGGGACTATACCAGTCCGGTACCATGTGGGCTGATGGGCTTGAACATCGGGGAGACACTAACTGAGGGCCGATATATGTTACAAAGCAAACATGTTTGCCATTTCTCAGTTGTGTTTCTCCCAACAAACAGTGGTAACATCCATAAACAAGCTACAGACAAGTGCTGGATGGTCACAGCCAATTAGAGCTCAAAGGCACAAAACCACCACACATTCCTATATATTTACAGGTATTTTCCCTGCTCAAATACTATGGATTTACCAGAAGACAGGCTGAGAAGAATCGGCAAATGCATCAGCGGCATAAAGTGCAAATCGCCCCATCAAGTCAAAAACATGCAAGAAGAATGTAAACCATAATTATGCATAAACACACATATACATGGATACACATATACATACACAGGCTTGTAATACTAGTTTTCCTAAAAATAAAAACACCCTCTGGGCATATTATAACCAAGCATAGGGAAAAGGTATCTTAGTAGTGCACTTATTTTTTTTTTCTTTTGAAAGATATGTATTCTACTGCTTTCAAAGTATCTCACATACTGGTTCACACCTAACAGGTGACCGCGAGCTTTAGCTTATTTCCAATACATATAGTCAATGTCCAAATATTGTTGGGTCACACTGTCAACTTCATTGTGATTTTGACAAATGAGTTTTTGCTGGACTGAAAACTGGTAATCTCAGACAGAAGGAATGAGAGGTAACCTATGCTTCATTTTCCCCTGACCTGGGGCAGAAGTTAGCTGACAGCTGTCCCTTAACAACTGCACCCAAATGCATGTAAATTCAGATTTGGTAGATTCAGTCAGATGTATGCTTTCTTTTTCAGGATGCCCATGCATGCATGCCAGAGGTGGTGTGTTAGTCATGTATTAATTTGGATTAAACATGGCGTAATTCTCTGAAATGGTTCTGGCCTACTTCATTGTTGAGCATTATTTCGAGGAGAGTGAATGTCAGCATTGCAAAGGACAAGAAGGAACACTGCACAGCACTTCTTAAAGCAACAGATATTTGGTTACCGCTTACCAGAACTCTCAGAACTGCAGTTCCCACGGTGGCATTCTCAAAGAGGCTGATGTTGTACAAGACTTGGCTGAAAACTGGGCGGTTGTCATTCTCATTAATGAGGTTAATTTTTACCCAAGCGAAGCCAACATGGTCTGGCATGCTCTCATTTGCAAACAGCTGAGTGGAAACAAGAAGCAAATGATGAGTATGAAGCTTAATTTGTGTGTTTGTGTGTTTGTTCAAGGAAAGCTCTTAATGCCTCATTTTCTTTTTTCATGGGCTCGTAGCAAGCATTTGGTCATCAGGCCAAGCACCAGCCCTTGAAACAACGCACCACTGAGCATACATAATGGATGAGGGTTTCCGCAGTCAAAAGCTGATGGTTTCTCCATGTCACTTTCCTATTTCCAGGTAACTGCCACTGGATTTTAACATCCAATCTGATATACTCCTCCACTATTCTGGGCAATAAGGACATTGTATTTCAACCTTACAAAGCAATGCATCTTCTAAACCTAATACAACATGATTTTAAATACTCACCAGTAGAAACCAAAAGAAAGTCATTCTGACTATCTGCACCGCAATTCTGACACACTTCCTACTTTCTAGTCCTTGTATAGACCACTGGGCTCATGACCAATGCTGCATGCATCCCACCTTTCAATTTGTTTTAAAGGACATTTCTAATTTTCTTGGTAGAATTGAATTAGTGATGAGGACAAATTTGGAACTGGGAAACATTCAGAATATGAACTCATCCAGTTTGGAAACTCCATTACAAGCACAGCCAAATTTCCTTTGAATTTTGGCCTAGTTCGTAATGCGGTCATTTGCACTGCTGCCAGAGAGTTCTTCCTGCCAATGTTCCCCACCTGCTCCAAGCAAATACACCTTTCAAAGGGTAAGGAACTCCAGCAGCAGGGAGGACTCACCAGAGGAGGCAAGAGAGACCTCTCAGGCCTCTGCATAACTGGAAATGATGCTTCTGAGAGCATGAACCTCATTCTTGTTGAGGTTCACTGGGTACGCGGAATTCTATGCATCTTAACTCAAATGAACTGATATGCATTCATGATATGTTTATTAACAGCTGTCAGGCTTGTGGTATATATTTTCAGATTCATAATTCTGAACCATCTACCTTCTTGTGCATTAATGCATAATGGTTTGCCAGAATTTTGGTAGTGAAACAAGCATCCATCCCCTACATAGTGTGCCCAGAGGCTTGCCCTTACATTATCCTGTAACCTTCTATACACCGAGTCAGGATTTAACCCAAAGATTTAAATTTCTTGTAGTAGTCTATGAAGAAAGGGTTTTATTTATCCTTCCTTGCTGGCACATAAAGGCCCCACTGTCAAGACAAACAGCAAGTGCGGCTGCCAGCATGATGTTTACAGAGCTGTTTTGACTTTCCACAAATTTACAACTCACCCAGACACTGGGACCATGCTCAAGCAGGCAGCTGGAAAGAGCCCCACTGCCTGATAGGTGCATTTAAACTAAAGTTTTATAGGACATAAAACTTTTATAGCTTCAAAACATAAAAAGGGAGGGGTGTTCTATTTAAGCTGCTGCAGCTGGGGCCCTAAATTTTGGAAGATAAGGCTCACAGCAGATCTCTTTTCATTTTCTTCCTTTTTAAGCTAAATTTTAGTACTGTGAAAACAGACAGCACCAGCTGAAGTAGCAAAGGCTGGGAGAGTCTGTCCATCTCTGTCCATGTTTTTATCTCGGACTCTTAACAGGATCTTACAGTTAAATTTTACCAAGCAACCATCTGTGCTAACCCACTTTCCTGTTATCCGATAACATGCCATTTTAAAAAATAAATAACAAGGAAAACAAACCTGGTATTCACACCAGTTTTTTCTGTCATGCTGTGACAGGCTAATGTCTCACGGAATTGTGAACACACAATTCTCCTTCTAAAATTTCCATACCATTCCGTAGTTGGATTTTTATCTTCAGCCCTTATGAAACTTTATGATCCAGGGCTAGCCCTTCCATTAGGGAGACCAAAGTGGCCACCACAGAAGCAAATTTTGTGTGTCATGAAAGGGCAGAAAATGGCTAGTTATGCGATTTGTTGTTATTTACTGTCAGGAATCAAGAAAGCTTCTTGTGGGACCAAAATAATCTGCCTAGTTTGGCTACTATGCATATTGAAGTAAGTAGATGAAGAAGCTGCATCCTTCTGAGCTGGGAGCAGCAAAATGTCTGGGACCAGCCTTGGCAAGATCTCCAAAACTTTGTGCAAGTTTTAGCAAGCACAGGCAAGCGAGATAATCCTCATTTAAACTTGCCAGTTTTATAGCATCATTCAATTATAAGAAGTCACAGGGCAACCCTTTCTGCTATACTACTGGTCCTGCTGGCTGAGTTATTCCCGTGTTCCCTGTCCCAGGATATCATCCTCTCAAGTTTAGCATCTTCATAAGAAGGGAGTGCCCCTGCAAGCCACTCCTGTTATGAAGACAATAATTCAAAAGGCGTTAGACTCAAACTCAAGAAGCTCCTAGATCAAATCAAGTCAGAAATTGCCCTGAAAGCTAAAATGCTGAACTGAGGCCATCGGAGTTCAAGCACATCAAGAGAAGGTAAGAATCACTGGAGAAGACAAGGGTAGAAGACGAAGAATAAGAAGCCCAAATATGGATGACTTGATTCCAAAAAGGAAGCCACTGCCTTGAACGTACAAGGACAGGGCAGGTCCTTGCAAGGGCAGGCATGCATTCACAGGGCCTTCTCTGTGGTGGCGCCCAGACTGGAATGTGCTTCCTGCAGAGGTGCGCCTGGCGCTGAGGCTATATTCTTTTCCACGCCAGGTCAAAATCTTTTTATTTAACTGTCATTTTAAAAATTAGTATTTTAACATTTTAACAGTCGCTCTGATTTTGATTTTCATTTAAATTTTCTATTGTTATTAAGTTATTTATTTATTGAGTTATTTATTTATTGATGTGATGGTTTTATTGTATTTTGATTTTAAGGAATGTATGCCATCCTGAGATGCCATGCATAAGGGACGCCATACAAAAGTTTTATATATATATATATATATATATATATATATATATATATATATATATATAAAAGTGTGTGTGTGTGTGTGTGTGTGTGTGTGTGTGTGTGTGTGTGTATTAGGGTCACCATAACTTGAGACAACTTGGCAACACCTAGCAAGAACAAATTCTCCAATGAAATGTGCATGCTAAGAAATCCATAGCAACACATGATTAGATGTGGAAAAGTCACCCACACGAGAATCTCACAGATGTATAATGGAAGCTGCTAAGTCCTAGAAAAGGAAACTTTTTGGAGGCCTTTTCCATAGCTGAGTTTTACAAGAATGATTCAGGAGGGCTGCTGTAGCTCTACAATCCCTATGTCTTCTGATACTTGGAAGGACAAGAAGAGGCAGAAGCACTAGAAAGGCACTTAGGCTCAGATCAATGCATGTTGACTCTCACTTGCAAGTTAATGCATCATTCCTGTTGGTCATTCACAAGTTCTAGCTATCAAAGACAGTACAGACTTCAGTTTCTGCACAGTTTGCCTGTGCTTTTAGGTGTTTCCAGACAAACAACCTTTAAAAGAATATCAGTAAGCACACGCCCCATCTATTAACATTAGAAAACCAAACCATGACTTACTGATTTTAGTCATATTATTGGTAATGTCTGTCAGTCTACAACAGCCAGAGATATTAAAGTCAGACTCTATAAAGACTATTTTCATAAGCATTTCTTCAACTGAACATGGACACTTTTTTAAAATGGCAGTATTTGTACAACTCATCTCCATAATGAACAAAAATGTGTGAAAACTGTTATAACTACATTTGATGGCAACAATCCCAGGATATATTCAGCAAAAGGTCCAATGTATGCGCATACAGCTGCGATCCATTAAGCATCTGCCTATATTGGCATAGGTATCACGTGACCTTATCCCACCACTGCTTGTCCTATGGCATAGGGTCCATAAAATTTATTAAGTTACACAAACAGCATTTTAACTACTTCATATAAAGTAGCACACCTGGAAAGGAATGAAGCAGAACAACCACATTTTAAACAGATGTTTTGAGTAAGAGATAGAGGGGCAAAGAAAAAGAACTAAGAAATGGGTAGAAAACTTGTTTGCTATGAAAAAGTATTACGAAATTGGTCCAGTAAGATAGAAACATGTGAACAACAGTTTTAAGAATGAGTAATTTCATAGATATCTTTAACTTTAAACAGAAGTTTTTATCTGCTGTTGCAAAATGGCCCAAAGTGTGGTTTCTCTAAACCTCAGCTCCTGCATTTGTAAAATCAGACAATCATATTGGTCTTTTATTTATAATAGAGAGGACAGCTATCAAACCAACTTCACTCCTCCCTCTAACCCATCCACCTGAGTTTTCCATACATATTTTCAATAATTCTTACAGAAAATTCATAGCGAGGAATTGTCTCAAAATCCAGTGGCACAGCGACTCTAATCCGGATGTCTGCCTTTCCTTGAATTGATGTTGGGGAGATGATAAAGTGGTTGGAGTTGTTTCCCACCAGGTAAATTTCAAAAACACTGTTGAGTCCCTGAAAGAACAATAAAGACAGAAACATTAAAACTGAGTGATTTTCACAAAATTGAACCACTCATGATGAACACGTTAACACAGGGAAGGGATGGGAAACATCTTCCCAAGGGCACAATCCAGCCCACAGATATTCCCCATTCACCCAGGAGAGGCTTGGACTCCTTCTGTAGGCCCCTGCCTAAACACCACTATCAGGAGGCTACTGGGGTCTTTGGGAAGAGGTGGGGAGAGCAATCTCTGCTATTATTCCCAATTGGAGAGAACAGTGTGAATTCCCCTGCATGTATTATCGCTCCCAGTTAGGAGGGTGAAAGGTGGTTAGAAAACTTGCCTCTTCAATCACAGTTCAGGCATAACAAGGGGACTCCCTTTCTTTAGTGCACTCTTTGCCCTCACAGTAGGAGGGGAGAGGAGCAGAGGGCTCAGCGCTTCTCCTGCTCTGTATCCTTCCCTGCTTGGGGAGAATATAGTCTGGGAAAGCACTTAGCCTGCCTCCCTCTCCCCCAGGTGGGAGGGCAACGGTACACGAGGCAAGGGGAATGCCTGTTATCACCATCTCTGTTCAGCCAGGTGATGTCAGGGGTTGTGGCAATCTCTCTTGATAGCACGAGGCAGAGTCACACCCTTGGCATCATCAGGACTAGGGGGAACCAGATGAACCAGATTCTTCTTCACCCCTACATTATGTGCAGATAATGTACCACAAAGGATTTTGACCCAATGCCAAGCCTATGAATGATACAGATAGTCAACCAGTGTGGGCACTCCAAGTCAGCAGACACCTCTGTCCATATGGCACAAACAATCAAAGCATGATCCACAACTCCAAGACATGCTTTCTTTGATGTACATTGGCATATCAATTCTATATCCATTCACCTAAAAGGCTCACTAATTCCATGATTGCTATCTAAATCCTTAATTCAAATTACAGTTTTTCTTCTGTCAATCATTGCCTTGAGCAATCAGCACACAGTGGAATCCACAATTATTGCAATTGGTTAAAGGAATCCACTGCATATTGGACAATGGTGCCAACACACTGTGGGCAAAAGCTGGATCCATCAGATTCTAGGTTGTAGGTCGTAGAAGAAATTCCAAAGGTACCCTGAGCCTAACTCTCGAGCTCATTGACACAATCTGCTTTTAAACTGAAGGCCCAGGATATGTGAAAACTATAGTAAATATTAAAACTTTCTTACTGAATTCAGATTTCACACAGGAGTGGTTACTTAATTGATTTATTTACAAAGTTATGCACAGGTCTATGCTAAGGATCAATGTTGTCTCACAGGGAAAAGCAGGGGAGGCTGGGCCATCCTGAAGGGAATGATGCATGGCTAATTCTCTGTGGCTGAATACACAATCATAATTTTAAAAGCGTCTCTTAGTATGTACAATCCCCCCCTTCTTTGTCGAGTAATCACAGCCCATTCCACACCCTTCGGGTACAGAATCAGGGCTTCCATGAAGGCTTGAGTCCCACTTTTCTTCTTTAAAGAGGTTATGTGATCTCCTCTATGTACTTTGGGTGGAAAGACACCAGCATTAGAATCTTAAGTACTCTGGAAATACTGATTCTAAACAATCATGAAATGTGCTCCCCCTTTTTGTGCAGAAGAGCAGCTAGTATCCCCTTGGTACAAAAAGCGTATTAAGTCCAAGTTGTTGCAACTCGAAGAGAAAGTAGCAGCAGTGACAAAGCTTCAGTGGTGAAGGGACAGCTGAGTCCCCAAGAAGGCTTTGTTCCAAAATATTGACACGTCATGATCTCCATGCCCAGCATTTTGCTCCTTCCCAGACTCTAGCCCAGCAGAGCACATTACAATAAAGCTGAAAAAAAAAACCTGCTGGAGCTGAATTTCCAATTTTCCTCCAAACGGAGTCAGTCTTGTTGGAAGGAGGGACCAATTAAATGCACGAAGGGGCACTAATAGCAAAAGCTGGCTGAGCGTGACAGCTGAGAAGCAGGTGACATGGCTGGAGAATCCCCCTTTCCATTTCTGCCTCCCTCCTCCTCCTATCCAGATCCAACAATAAATATCCTAGAATGCAGGAGAAGGGAGCTAAAATAATAATGACATTCATACAGAATCAGAGGAAAGGATGTTATCTCATGGGCAGATTAAGATGACCAGCTTCCTGTTCCAAGGACTTGGCAACTTAAGAAAGGCAAACCCCCAAAATATTGCATTGAATATTCTGAGAAGTAGATTACTGAAGACAGCAAAATAACAAGGAACAATTCCCCCCTCAAATAGCATGTATGATAATGTGCTAACTACAGAAAAGAAAGAAAAGCAGAGAGACAGCTCTCTGAACTCAGACTAAGCCCAATGCTGAAAAGTTCAGACATCCAGAAACAATAAACCAGAAGCCACTGAAATAATATTTTTGCCTCTGAGTGCTACGTTTTTCTTGTCTTTGTCAAACGTTTGTGGGAAGAATGCTTGACCCTAACTAAAAGCTATAAGGATGAATTTTTATAATAAATGTGAGATTTCCCTTTCCAGAGTGGTTCTGGTGTAGAGTAGAATTTAGTATATCACATATGAGAGAGTTGCTTATGTCAACATTCTTTCATTTGTTAGGAACAACCTTTGGAGATGTCAAACGCAAATCACGGAATAGCACCTAGTGAATGTGTAGACGTGTCACTGCCTGAAAGACTGATTCCATCAAAGTGTAAATAATATAAGTACTGGGGGAAAAACCTCGCAAGGAATGAGCTACAATGCCCTCTCCTGAGGAATTACCCTAGGCCTGATACACTAGATGAATTCATTCTCTTATTCATCTAGGCACTGTAGAAGCAGAAATTCTGCAAACCAAACAATATTGGCTAAGGGTGTGAACCAAGATCCAGGCTTCCTAGAACCTTAGATCTTGAATATATATACACACACACACATTGAAGGCACTCCTAATGTTCAAGCTGAATCATTCTCAGAGGGGTTTTTATGATCAGCCAGTCTTCTGAGATAATTTCATTTCTGTTATGCAGAATGCCGGGAAAAAGTGGCTAAATGTATCTCTACCTAGACTGTGAATTGTTGTAAGCCGCCCCGAGGCTTCGGCGAATGGGGCGGCATAAAAATGTTTTAATAAATAAATAAATAAAATTAGCTGGCTTCCTGTCTGAGCATAAAAAATCTTATTCCTCTCTGATGATTAACATAGTCCTTTGCAGACTTTCTGCCCAACTAGATGAAAATTGTTAGTCCTTGACATGTTCCTGGAAGGTCCAGAATACTAACTTGTTCACTCCCAATGCCAGCTAGTTGATGATTTCTTGGAAAGAAACTGACTCCTGAATGTGGGTTCCTGGAGTTAAAAGGTTGACAGTAAGCATGAGGGTGACAGTCCCTCTCTCCGTCTCCCTTGTGGTATCCTGATGCTGGCTCTGGTTAGAGAAAGACATCAGAGCAGGGATACCCAAATGCCCCATAGTCTCCAGGAGCTCAATCTGCGAGTGTTACGACAGAAACCTCATACTTGGAAACTTAGCAAAATTGTTGTTTGGCTAATATAGCAATCTTAGAAGCAGTTTTTCCATATCCAGTGATATAACAATAACCCTTGCTTTATTTAACCCATGGATTATTCAACTCTGGCTGCTACAACAAGCCTACAAAGCCATTCTAAAAAGATACAGTTGGTAACCACAAATAGCCCAGAGAGGAACCCACAGGTGTTTTGTTGCTGGGCTGCAGGCTCTCTGTAATTTAAACCATAAGCAGCCATTATGTGTGAACCCAGAAATGTAGGCTGTTCAGAGGCAGCTGGCAAGAGTGGTACCGCCAGCATGCACTGCCTTACCTGCCTGTATTACACAGTGTCACAGAGAAATACGGGATATAGAAAGGGAGCAGGCAGAAGAGGAGAGAAACAAACCCAGGGATTAAAAAAACAAAAACAAAACCATAGTTTGTTCATTCATCTACCATATAAACCCTGGGTAGAAAAGTTAATTATAGGGAGTATCCAACTGTGTCATTTGAAAAAGAGAGTTCAACGGGGAGGACTCAAGAGATTAAATCCCTTCAATTTTTTTATTTTATTTATTTGAATGCTCGAAGATTACTCAAAACCACAGTAATGAAAGCTCAGACAGTAAATATACCAAAAGTTAGGAAGGTATATATACTGCCTGAAGAAGTCCAGAAAGTTTCTAGCCTGGTTAATGAGCAGTGTCAAGGAAGGTATTGGAGAAAAGAAGCCATTACTCAGAAAGTCTTGCCCAAATGAAGGAAGGAAAAGGGAGCATAAGTTTGCCCAAGGGGAAACCCAAAAATAAGAGAAGAAAAATAATCAAGAACTATATTGCTATCATCAAGAACAACTATAAAGAATTATTTAAATATATCAGAAATTTAAAGAACTCAACTATGAAATTGCTGATCTTCTTACAAAAATATATAACATGCCCCTAAGGCCAGTCTCTGTGCTAGAGGACTGGAGAAGGGCTAATGTAACACCAATATTTTTAATTGGTGGGGAGAAAGAGGAATCTGGGAAATTACAGACCAGTTAACATTATGTCTGTTATGATAAATTGGCTTGAAAGTATTAATAAAAATATAGAATTGGCAAGTATATAGAAGAATGAGATCTACTGAAAAAGAAGCAGCATGACTTCTGCAAAGATAAATCCTGTCTCAGTCACCCTGTAGAGTTCTTCAAAAGACTCAATAAGAACATGCATGGGGTGATATGGTAGACACTGCTCACTTGGACTTCCAAAAGGCTTTTGTTGATATCCCTCACCAAAGACTCCTCAGCAGTCATGGAGTAAAGGAGGAGAGACTCTTATGGGTCAGTACCTGGTTATGGAACAGAAATCAGAGAGTGAGGATAAATGATCATTTCTCCTAATGAGGACTCCCACAGGGATCTTTGTTAGGACCAATGCTTTATTCATAAATGATCGGAATTTCAGAGTGAGCAGCAAGGTAGTCAAATATGGTCATGGCACCAAATACTTTAGGATGATTAAAA